CCCAGCTTGAAGCCTGTATCCTTCACACACAGACAGAAACACTGCTGGCTCCTAACTGCATTTCCCCACCAGACTGTACAGGTTTCAACAGAGATGTCAATGTCAGAATCATGGTCAAAATTTTGACGGTGGCTCCAACAAAGCTGCTGGTGACACATCTCTTAAAAGAAAACAGCAGGGAAACCCAGCATTCAAGCTGTCACACCGGCCCCTCCCCAGGACTATCCATGCTTTGATTTTGAATTTTCTAGCCTCCAGAGCTATGAAAACTAAATCTGTCATTTATAATTCATTTATAATTAAAAAATAAAATGGTCATCCTGTGCACTGCATATTCTAAGAGTTAAAATGAAATAGTGATGAATAAATGTATTACTTCAAATAAAAAATAACAGTTACACACACATGTATTCATCACATACACATGCAGATTTATTCAGTAGATATTTGCTGGATACATGCCATGTGTCAGGCACTGAGGAGATATTTGAAATGTAAATATGAAAAACAAAGTTCTTCATTATTTGTGTGTGTATGTTTGTGTGAATGTATGTGTCATGCAGGTGTGTGTGCATGTGGAGGCCAGAGGTTGATATCAGGTTGTCTTCCTCTATTGCTCTCCCCCTTATTTCTTTTGGAGACAGGGTCCCTCACTGATTGCCTCGACCGTCTGGCCATCAAGCTTTGAGGTTTGAGATACTACTTGTCTCCACCCCTTCAGTGCTAGGTTACTAAAAGTATGTCACCACTCCAGGTTTTATGTGGGTACTGGGGATCTGAATCATGATTGTTCCTCATGATTGCATGGCAAGCACTTTACTGAGTCATCTTTCCAATCTTTTGTTGTCCTTTTTAAAACTTTCACAGACATTGTTTAGGAAGTACCTTAGCATACTTTAGAGCTGTCTTTTGTTTAATCTTCCCTTCAAAATCTGTATTTGACTATTTTGTCTTTCAAAGATATATAGCAGTAAATTCAGCTTTCTATTGATAACCCAATGGTAGTTGGCCTCTGTATTTCTTCCTCCCTTTTTTTTTTCCAGACATGATCTCATGTATCTTTGAGATATACGGCTGCTGTGTAGCGAAGGATAACCTTGAATTTCTAATGTTTCTGTCTCAACCTCCCAAGTGCTGAGATTACAGATACATGCCACCAAGTCCAGAGTGTTTTTGTTTGTTTTGGTTTGGTTTTCTGTGCTGAGAATTGAACCTAGGGTCTCACGCATACTAGGCAAGCATCTTACCACTGAGCTGTATGCCCAGCCTTCTTTCTCCATGTATTTCCCCAACACTGCATTGTAATTATACCCAAGCACATTTGGCTGAAAAGCAAGAAGGAAATATACTGGTTATCCAGCTAAGTGGATGTCCAGGGCATTCAGATACCCTTCAGGTGCTTTGGGTAAAAATTAAGCCAACAAATCCAACATTGCAATTCACACCATTTCTCATGCTCACCCTTTCCTATTTTTAAGCTATGAAAGTTGCTGAAATGCCAGGAGTTTGGTTAGGGGTGAGTAGGGTAGTCTGGAGTGTTTTTAATCTTGTGTTCAGTGTTCTTGGTAACATTAGAAGAAGAGCAGAGTCATGAATTCAGCCAGATTTTTGGCTCAAGCAGCCTCCCCTAAGTGCTCCTCACATGGGAAAAAAAAAAAAAAAAACACCTAGTGCTTCAGTTGACAGTAAACAGAACCTGAGCCAGGGATGTGACCTGGCTGCCAAACCAAGAGAATACAATCTGAAGTGGCAAAATAGAAGGCTACTGGCCAGGAAAAAGGTTATAATCCCAGGGTTCACTCTGCTGTGGTTAGCTCACACCTGGTGAATGGTGTTTCCTTTTGTGTCCAAAGAGTAGCTTGACAAATTGGAGTTTGCCCAAGTTGGGTGACAGGATGATGAACTGCTAGAATTCTTTGAGGAACAACTGGAGGATTTGGGGTAGTTAAGTCTGGAAACTAGAACACTGGGGTGTAGGATAACTATTTTGAAACAATTCATAGGCCTATCATTTAGAAGAGCTAGCTTCTTCAGTGTAAGCTCAGCAAATACAACTTAGACCAACAGGTGTACATTACAAAGTGGCTGATATTGTCTCTACAAGAGGAAGAATTTTCTAACCCTGTGAGTATGCAGAAAACAGCAGTTCTGAAGGTAAGGACTTAACTTTAATAGCTAGTGCATACGCGTATTAAAAAAGAGGTTTGCTTACCCAGCACCAGAAAATTCATGAATAGGATGGGAAGTTTAGACAAATGACCCGAGCTAAGACTCTCTCAGATTCAAAGGTTCTAATACCAAGTTTAAAAGAAGGTGTTAACTATTTGCCTCTCACAGACCCCATGCAAGTATTAACTATAGAAACTATGTTTAAAATTGACTCTGGGGCCAGGAGATGGCTCAATGGGTAAAGATACTCGCTGTCAAGTTGACAACCTGAGTTTGATCCCCAGGATCCACATATTAGAAGGAATCAACTTCTGCAACTTCTGAGTCATGGCAAGTGTGCTCATTAACATACATACACACAATAAATGAATAAACATAAGAAAAAATTAAAGTACAGACTGGAGAGATGGCTCAGTGGTTAAGAGCACTTGCTACTCTTGCAGAAGACCCAAGTTCAGTTCCCAGCACCCACATGGTGGCTCACAACCGCTGTAATTTCAGTTCCAGGGAATCTGATGCCCTCTTCTGGCCTCTGCAGGGACTGCACAAATGTGGTGCACTTCATGCAGGCAAATAGTCATACACAAAAAATAAAAGGAAATAAAATCTTTTAAAATAAAATTAGACTCTAAGGTAGAATATCAAAGAAATAAAGGGTAGAGAGTAAAGAAACCCAAACCTACTTTGTTTTCCCTGGTGTTTATAAAATTCTTTGTATAAAGGTTTAGGTAGTAGTACTATGTATGTACGTTTTTGCCATAAAAACCTAAATGCTTGGTGTGTTTTCTTTCTTATCAGGGTTCCGGCCCTTTTAATATGTTGTTTTCAGAGTATAATACTTGGATGAGATTTTCCTTAACCAAATATCTATATCTTTTACAAGATAGTATTTAAATAATAGTAGCTTATGTCCACAGATCAAAGAACCAGCCCTGTGGAACAACTGGTACATTAGAACTTATTAATCATTAATAATGAAGGAGCATCCAGTAAAATGTATACATTAGGATACCTTGTTTCTTCCTAACACTCAGTGAAGCAGGTTAGTAATTACCATTTTCATTTACTAATAAGGAAACTAATTCTTGGAAATGCTTGCCTACCATGATCACTGAGCTGGTGCTACAATGCAGATCTTTCAATTTCTAGGCCAATCTTCCAATAGAAAACACTACTGCTTTCTTCAAGCAGGTTTAGAGCCTTACTTGAATATATATATTATGCTCTTCTCTCTTAATTATTCAGGTTCTGTTGGCAGATTGTGTTGATGAAAGACAGCCTCTAAGTGCTGTCTCTAGTTCGTTTTCTGTCGTAAAGAAAGTCACCAGCATATACTAGTGCTGACATCTGAGAATACTTGAACATCTCTTTGAAAAAAGGGACAACACTTACCCTGAACAAAACTTCCAGCGGGGTATGGTGGTGAATACCTGTAAACCTAGCACTTGGGAAGTAGAGGCAGGAGGATCAGGAGTTTAAGATTATTCTCATCTTAATCACAAGAATTCGAGGTTAGCCTGAGCCCCTGAGACCCTGTCTCAAAAAATAAAAACAAACACTTTTAAGGATGTGCAGAGGATAGCATTTGTCAGATGGAGTGGATTTGACTGGGCAGTGTAGCAAAACTCTTATGAGGCAAAAAGACCTGGGTTTAAATCTCTGTTCTGCCACCTACTAGCTATGATATCATCCTTGGAACCTCAGCTTCGTTACATGTAAGATGGAAACAATAAGGTTTAAGGTTGTTGAGAGGATCAAAGATGAGAATGAATGTAAAAGTACAAATACTATGCTGTTTTGAAAAATAGGTCACTGTATGTTATCATTAGTTGTCTTTTACACATTTTCTATTGTGAAATTTTTGTGTCCCCTAAAAACTTTTGCTGAATAAATCCTACTCAGTGGTATTCTGCTATGCCAATAATCAGTAACAGAACAACAGGACAAGTGAGTCCTGCGTGCCCAGCCTAACGTTGACCTCTTATAGTACAAAGTAGCCTGAAATTAGGCCCTTCCTCCAGTGATTAGAGAGCATGGTCCAAAGGTTGTGACGCAGGCCAGCCTGATCAACTTGGAGTTCCAGAAAGGTCTGGAGATGTATGAGTGTTGAGTCAGTTGGGAGGTGCCTTGGTGGAGAGAACAATAAAGTGAAAAGACACATCTCTTAATTAGCAGAATGTAGGAGTGGACAGGAAGCCTGAATCAGAGTTGTCATTCTTAACTGAGCTGTCACCGTAGCCTCTTAGAACCACAATTTCTTCATCTGTAAAGAGAAATTAATAAGCCAGGTGTAGGGGCCCATGCCTCTAATCCCAGCATCCTGTAACGCTGAGGCAGGAGAAGCACGTGCCAGTATCCAGCCTGGACTACCTAAGACCTATCTCAAAACAAAAACAAACAGAAATAACAAAACCCACCCACAGCAACAAAGGAGGTAGGGAAATAATGTCCACCTACTTGCGATGATGTGACGTTCAAGCAAATACTTGTGTTTGAAATTGGAGCACCAACCAGCACTGAGGACGAGTTTAATAAACTCGAGTCACTGTTAGCATTATGTTTCAATGATTTGAGAATACCTTAGTACAATAATGAACGGTGTCTTCCCAAGAATAATTTATAGCTTGGTTGTTGGAATGCAAGCAAGGGCGACTACGATTCGGGAGCTGTTTCAGTCTTAAAGTGCTTTAAGACAAGCAGTCTAGAAGCTGCCGCCTAACGCCTACAGGTGCGCGCTGGTGGCGGGTTGCGGGGAAACGCTACGGAGCCGGGCTTCCAGGGTCACATGGCCCGAGACCCCGCCCCTATCCACGGGTCCCAAGCGGCTGCGACAGCACAGGGTGCGCGTGCGCCGAACCCAGCGCGCTCTGCGGCGCGGTCCGCGGTGGAGGCGGCGCGAGCTGTGAGCCGGACGCCGATGTCTCTGCGGGGCCCGGCGGTCTTGGGACCTGGTTCCCGAGGGTCGTTGGACGAGGCTGGGGCCGAGGACCGCGAGGCGTCGGCCCTGGCGGCGGCGGGAGCCGCTCTGGAGGACGATGAGGACGATGGCCGCCGCCGGGGCCTGCTGCGCTGGGACGGCTTCTCGGCCTGGCTGCACTGCGTGTGTGTGGTGGGCTTCGACCTGGAACTGGGCCAGGCGGTGGAGGTGAGGCCGGCCGCACCCCGAGTTCGCCCTGCGCCCCCGCCGCGGCCAGGTCCCCTGCGGCTGCGCATCCGGGCGTGGCCCGCCTCCCCTCCGAGGGCCAGCTGGGCTGCGGTCCACCGACCCTGCCCGCGGGAGGATCCTGGTCTGTGGCGAGGGGTGAAAAGTTCTCCGTGCGCCCCTCCTGAATACTTGCGGATATTCATCTGCTTGAAAACCCCAGCAACGCTGTGGAAACCGAAAGGGTTAGCTACACCTAGAAAACGGCTGCAGAGGCAGGATGTTTGCTTGGGACTTACCCTGGAGAGGAACAATACCCTGACATATGGTGAATTACAGTAGCCAAACGTGCAGGTCCAACTGTGTAGGCTTGCAGATTGTTTTGTCATTTCGATAACTCAAAGCATTCCGCTAAGCCCAAATGCTTGTCTAAGCATGCATTTTCTCCTTTTGTTCCCCATTTCTGAGTGATGTGGCGCCGGCCCCCACTCCTTCCAGTTCCTCCCCTCTGATTAAGAATGGAATCCGAGGCCTCTTGAATACTGGGCCAGCTCTCTGCCTCAGAGCTACGTCCCAGCTGCTGTTGTTTCTTAAGAACGCTGCTGTAAAGCTAGTAAGACAGGGAAAATTCTTTGCTTATAAGGCAGTCAACTTAGCCATCTTTCTATATAGTACCTAAAGCCTTAGAATTGTACTCCTTTTTGGCATCGTTTGGGGTCCCTTTTGTAGCATAAGCGGCTGTCTTGTCCAAGGAAAACATTTTTAGAGGAATATATGTTTAGAAGTTTTAATTTTTTGATCTTTTGGTGGTGGTGAAAGATTCTGATCTCATTCTATCTAACTTTGGTGGCCTAATTTGGTTAATGTAATTAGCCAGGGAGGTTATTCTCAATGAGGAGCTACTACTTTTTGTAAAATACTTGTTGATAGAATAAGTTACTACCTGGAGCAGTTATCTTCTTTGAGGCAGAAATAGGAGTTCCCAAAGAGTAAGACGATATTTACAAGCCAATATTATATAATGTTAAATTGAAGTTACATGTGTAGCAAAATGATTTAAGCAGCAGAGGTTATATTTGATTGCATTTTAAAATAGCCAAAAGAGATCCTTTTGGGTTTTCACCATTTGGAACATTTAAAAAAATATATTATTTTATGTGTATGAGTGTATTGCTTGCATGTATGTAAGTGCATGCGTGTGGTGCAATGTCTGAAGAGGTCAGAAGAGGGAGTCAGATCCCCTGGAACTGGGGTTACTGGATAGTTGTCAGCCACTATGTGGGTGCTGGGAACCAAACCCCAGTCCTCTGCAAGAGCAGGCAGTGCTCTTAACTGCTCAGTCATTTCTCCAGCCCCCTGGAACATTCTTCATAACATGAATTATTTTTTTTGAGACAGGGTCTCCCTGTAGCCCCTGCTGTCCTGGAACTCACTATGTAGGACCAGGCTGGCCTCGAACTCACAAAGATCTGTCCGCCTCTGCCTCTCAACTGCTGGGATTAAAGGCGTGCACCACCATGCCCAGCTCAAATTATCCCTTCAGAAAGAAAACAAATAAAAACCAAACAAAAAACAAGCAAGGGTTCAATGAGATGGTTCAGCAGGTAAAGGCACTTGATGGAAAGAGAACCAACATCCTGTCCTGAGGGAGGGAGACCTTAAGATCTTTTGAGCTGAGAGGATTGAAAAAGATGCTGAGGAAGGGGATGTGCCCACCTTCTTTTCCTCTGAGGTAGTCCTGGTACCATTACCACAGAATCCAAGTGTCTCAGAAACAAGGATTAAAATCCCCTGGATTTTATATTCTTTGTCATTTATAACTTTGAAATCATCTGATTGTATAGTAAAGCCATAAATTAGTACAGAATCACCTCATTTATTCAGAACCTTTTCCTTCAAGACAGAATACTCATGGTTGAAAGCTTGACTAAAAAAATTATAAAGCTAAGAAATACTGTTCCTAATTCTAAGAGACTAGAGGGGGCTGGAGAGATGGCTTGGTGATTAAGAGCACTGGCTGTTCTTGCAGAGGACCGGGTTCAATTCCCAGCACCAACATGGCAGCTAACAGCCATTCATAACTCCAGTTCCAGGGAAATCCAACACCCTTTCTGACATCTGCAGACATTGTACAACATGGGTGCACTTACACACATGCAGGCAATACACTCATATACATAAAATAGTAAATAAAATATTTTTAAAGAGACTAGAGTATTAATATTTGAATTTTTTGTTAGTGATCACCTCCCCCTTTAATTTTGTGCCAATCAAGAGTTGATTTTTAGGAAGAAGTTTTCTTGAATAAATTCAAGTAAAGGGAAATTGTAAGGATTCTGGGCAGTCTCCTAGATCCCAAATGCAAGACACTGGGAGGAACCCCATGGGATTTTGTCTGTGGAGCAGTGTGGCCGTTTTCTCTGAACTTCTTTGCATGTCTTCCATTCTCTAAGGCCAGTTTCTTCTGCAAAAGTTTTAATCTCTGCTGCCCTATGTTTGGTTTTGGATTACAGTGGTAGAAATTTTAGCCAAACTCTGCTTTTTTTCTTTTAGAAACAGACTGAAGCTCAAGGCAAATACTCGGGTATCTATCCCAGCAAGGGTCAGTGCCCATTTCTGTGCAGTCAGCTGTGGTCAGTACAGGCTAGTGGCCACCCAGGCTTCTAAAGCATGGACTGGGGAGCAAGCCTCTAGACATAGGCTATGTGTCCACTTTTATTGGTGAGCATTTTTTAAAATTATTTATTATTTTTATTTTATGTGTATGTGTGTATTGCCTGCATATAGGTAAGTGCACTCATGATGTGCAGTGCTCGCGGAGACCAGAAGAGCCTGTTGGATCCCCTGGAACTGGAGTTATGGACAGTTGTTAGCTGCCATGTGGGTGCTGGGATTCGAACCCGGGTCTTCTGCAAGAACAACCAGTGTTCTTAACCGCTGAGCCATCTCTTCAGCCCCTGATGAACATTTTCATAAACAGTTTGCCAGATGATTAAAGAATCTTCACAGAATTTTAATATTTAATCATTAATATTATCTATACAACATAGGGGTTATTAACTATATATTGGAGATGTACTTCATTGTAGGTTGATTTTTTCCATAAGTTGGGATTGCTGTCTGAACCTCTCTAATACCCAAATTTTACAAGAACAAGTCATTAATGACTTTCTATTTTGTGTTTAAAGGTTTATCTTCATTTATGTGTGTGTGACTGTAAGCCATGTATGTGTGGTTACCTGCAGAGGCCAGAAGAGGGTGTTGGATCTCCTGGAGCTGGGGTTCCAGGTGGTTGTGAGCTGATATGGGTGCTAGGAACCAAACTCTGGTCCTGTGGAAGAGCTTTTAACCTCTGAGCCATCTCTCTAGCCCCTATTTCTATTTCTTGAAGGCTATGACCTGTCAACTTGTTGAACAGAATTCTAATCTAATAAAAATTGCCCTGAGCCTGGAGAGATGGCTCAGCAGTTAAGAACACTGGCTATTCTTGCAGAAGACCCAAGTTCAAATCCTAGCACCCACATGGCAGCTAACAAACTGTCCGTAACTCCAAGTTCCAGGGGATCTGACAGCCAGTCTTCTATCCTTCTCCACCATTGCATGACGTGGGTGCACTTACTTACATGCAGGCAATACACACATACACATGCAAATAATAAATAAAATAATATTTTAAATTTAATATTTTAATAAATTTTAATAATAAATAAAATATTTAATATTTAAATTTGATATTTTAGTATTTAAATTTAAAAATTTTTAAAAATTGCCTAGGCTTTGGAGTTTTGAATATTTTCTAGTCATTTGATTATTGGCCATTTGCCAGCTGTGTCTCGTTTTCATTAACTATAAAACAGCAAAACAGGTATGAGTGCTGCTAGAGGTTAGTAGGTGAGGTAGACGTGAGAATTAATGCCTCTTCTTGAATACCTGGCCAATATGTATGTCAGTATGAGACTTCTTGGCTGCCACTCCTGGTATTCTGCCTTTAAGTAATTTTTATTTATCATTTGTATTTTTTATGTGCATTAGTGTTTTGCCTGCATATATGTAAGTGCATCACATGCATACCATGCCTGCACAGAGGCCAGAAGAGGGTGTGGGATCCTCTGGAAGTGGAGTTATGGATGGTTGTTAGCTACCATGTGTGAACTAGGAATCGAACCCAGGTCCTCTGGAAGAACAAGTATTCTCAACTGCTGAGTTATCTCTCTAACCCTTAAGTGATTTTTTTTTTTAAACACAATTTTATTTTATTTATTTTTAGAGTATCTTTTATTTATTCTTTGACAATTGCATGCATGTATACAATGTATTTTGATGACCCCCACCCCCAACTCTCCCCACTCCCACTCCCAGACACTCCCTACTAGGTCTTCACAGTCATACTTTCTCCTCCCCTTTTTGGTAATGTGGAGTCCCTTTAGTGCTGCCTGCTGGAGTCTTAACTGACCTTGTTGGCTTGCCCTTGTGCAGGTCTTGTGCAGTTAACTATAGCTTCAGCGAGTTCGTGAGTGCAAGGACCATATCATGTCCAGAGGACAGCATTTCACAGCACTCCTCCCCATCCTCTGGGTCTTAGTTCTGTCCTCTCTTCCAAGAATGTTCCTGAGCCTTGGATATATGGGGCGAGGGATGGAAACGGAGTCGATGTAGATGTTCCATTTAGGGCTGAGCACTCAATAGTCACTTGTTCTTAGCACCAGTTATGAGTGTATTGGTGCCTACTGCAGAAAGAGGCTTCTCTGGCCAGGGTTGAGAGCAACACTAATGTATGATTATAACTATAAATACTTAGAAAGCAGTTTGACGGTATGTCCATTGGCAAAACAACATTAGTAGGTTCCCCCTCCACCCCCTTGGAGCCTATGACCTCCTGAGCCATAGGCTTTTGACCAGGTTTATAGTACCAGACTTGAATTCCCTTCTGTGCAGCAGGCCTCAAATCCAGTCAGAAAGTGGTTGACTATTTTAGCAGTGGGGACATCCTGCCTGGCACGTGG